GAATGTCCAGTTTAAGCAATTTGTCATTTCCTTCTTCTCTGCCTTAAACATAAAATAGTTTAAGAAAGTGATATGAGATTCTACAATCATATTTTAGTCATAATGATCAACAACATTTAAAAGCATCAATAATGTTTTCCTACAGTGGTTCTTCAGTGTCTACACTTACAATTTGTTTGCAAATCATGCAATAGTTTTAGTTATAATTCAATTACAGAATTGCAGACGGATAAAAGGTAAAAAAGAACATGTACTTTGTGAACAGAAGGAAAGATAAATGAATCAATAATACAAGAGGTTGATGATGGCACACAGGTTCAAAACGCCAAGGACAAATAAACATTCTAACTAAACAAGAAACTAACCACTTGCAAGTTACCTTTCGTTAAGTTTCATTTATTTAAAAAAAATTTGTGTTACTGTGCTTTATAGGAAAACTGTAAGAATCATGGATACAAATGATACTTGCTAGTTCAATTCTAAAATAAAGATGACAACTTTTTTAACTTAAATTCAGTAAGATAAATAATTTTTAAATATTTATTAGCATCCAATAAACTTAAAAATGTAAGAATTCTATTTACACAGCAGTTCTAGAAGTGTTTTTTCACCTTATTTCAAATAAGCACAATGATTCCTGACTTAGAATCATGATCATTTTTTAAGCTTAAAGATTAATTAAAATATGTAATCTAGATCTAAATTTAGATAATACATAAGTAAAAATAACTACTTTGTGTGTAAAACATATATTACATATGATGATCCCCACAAATAATAATCCTAAAAACAATATTGAACAAAGCCATTAAATTGAAAGGTTTTGGTCAAAAGCTTCTTCAAGGTATAATTCTCATCATTTCTTACCTTAAATTGGTAAAATATACATACATATATTTAAAACATAGCAGATTTAATATTTAATTTTGGTAGGCACAGTAACCTTTTGTAACCTTTCTTAGGGAACACTGACCCCTAAAGGTTCTAAATTTAAATGAGTTTCACAATTTTCTAAATTTAACTGGTATCCAGACCTCATTTTTACCTACATAATTGCAAGTATGTATACTTAGGGCAGACATATTTACCTGTAAATAATATGTAAACTGTTTGCAAAGAATTGCTGTATGCTATAAAATAACTAGACCATGTATCTGCTAATAAAAATCCCAACATTCATTTAAGAAATGATCAGGAATTTATAACAGTATTCCAAATAATTATTCATATGAGATTTATGATCCCTATGTCTTTTTTCTTATAGTTATGTATATAAGTAAATACAAAACAGGGCTAAACAACCAATAATATAACAACAACTCATTATTTCAGATGGTATAAACTCCTTTGATTATGACATTTCATTTTTTTCTTTTTTTTTTTCAAAAGAGAACCCTTAAATAGAAGTTTTCACAAAAAGGCAAAATATCACTTACCCCTTAAAAGGCCTGAAGATGGTAACACATTTTTTGCTGGGAATATATGTTTATTCACACACACATTGTTTTTGTCAACTTACAAACTAGATTCATTCAGGACTGTTTTTTCAACTACTTAAAAGAAACGTGGGGGCTAGATACAGTTGTTTTTGCCTGTCATCCCAGTGCTCTGGGAGTCTGAGGCAGGAGAATTGCTCGAGTACTAGGAGTTTGGGACCAGCCTGGACAACATAGTGAGACCCCCTACCTCTACAAACCATTAAAAAAAAAAAATTATCCAGGTGCAGTGACTCATGCCTGTAGTCCAAGCTACTCAGAAGGCTGAGGAAGGAGGACTGTTTGAGCCCAGGAATTCAAGGTTACACTGGGCCATGATCATACCACTGCATTCCAGCAAGGATGACAGAGTGAGACTGTTTTTTAAAAAAAAAAAAAAAAGAACTTGGGTTTATTTTGTAGATATCATCACCCAGCCCACCTACCAACCTCAGCTTTCCATTTTCCAAAATGTCTACAATGACAAAAACAAAGAAAAACATAAACAGTTATATATGTTACATTATCAATCTTATCAGCTCTTTGACTTAAAATATTTCAGAAGTGTTTCTACAGTAAAGCTAGGAAAAGAATGGCCACTTCAGCACTCTTTATAATGAAATTTGTAAGATGAAATAAAGCCATATCTGTGTAATACGAGTTTTAATTAACTCAATTTTTTTTAATTAGTAAAATTATACTAAATAAAATAACTATTCAAAGGAACTGACTAGGAACATTTATGTAAGATAGAGCTTTGAAGCAATCTGTGATTTAAGATAAATCCCATGAACCCTGCCATCAGGGAGGTGACGATGTGAGATTTTACTGTTTAAACATATCTGTTATCACAAGACTCAAAAGTTAAAATATTTATGTTTAATTTTATTTCCTAATATTATTTATTTATTTATTGAGACAGAGTCTCCCTCTGTTGCCCAGGCTGGAGTGTGATGGCATGATCTCTGCTCACTTCAACCTCTGCCACTGGAGTTCAAGTGATTCTCCTGCCTCAGACTCCCAAGTAGCTGGGATTACAGGTGTGCGCCACCATACCCAGCTAAATTTTGTATTTTTAGTAGAGACAGGATTTCGCCATGTTGATCAGGCTGGTCTCGAACTCCTGATTTCAAGTGACCCACCTGCCTTGGCCTCCCAAAGTGCTGGGAATACAGGCATAAGCCACCGCATCTGACCTTTTTCCTAATAATGTTTAGTAACAGATCCTTATAAATGGGAATGTCTTATTCCTCTTTCCAATGTCAAAAAACGCCTGTAAAAATGTAGATTTTCTTAATGCTGTATCAGTCATGTCTGCTGTAGTCTGTGCCTACTGTAAACTGTCTATGCATCTGTATCTTCAACCATAAAACTTTCCTTTTCGTAAGTATCCCAGAGCTTCATCAGCTCCTTCCTTGACATCCTTCCTGATTATTGGACATTTATCAGCAGTACTCCCTCTACAGTCTCTCTCTCTTTAGATATATTAAAAATAACTCCTTTCACTCCTTAAAGATTGTTTGGTCTCTAATTTGAACATGACTCTTACAGCAATACGATGTGTGAATGAGAAACACAACAAATGCATCATTATTTGCTTCTTTTTTCTTTTTACATAAATTGAGTAAAATGTTTTTGAGCTGTTAAGAGTATCTACTTAGTTACTCAAATAAATGAATAAACATAGCTATAACAAATTAGCTCCTAACTTCATACCAATACATTCTTATCCACAATTTGAATATAGAGAGCACACCAAAATTAAGTGTCACATAGTACCTGCACTATTAACTTTGCACAAAAAACTTTTAACTATCTTACCCAGATATTATATATTATTGTTTTACATAGAATTAAATCAGCTGTCTGGATTCTAAACTCATAATAAGCAGCCTAGTGTGACAAATAAAAAGGGAAATTACTAATGGTGGGTACAAACAGCAGGAAAATTTGTAACAGTATAAATATCAAAAACAAAATGCAGAAATCAGAACAAGGCACTCAGATCTTTCTATCCCTCAAAAGAATATATAATTGCTAACTTATTCAGTACAATGATTATAGAATGGTCCTCAAACATGGACTTTAACCTTCAAAAAGGATAAAAATGTGGCTGGACTATGCTGAACAGGAGCCCCGTTGGGGGAAGGGGAACCAAAAAAGGAAGAGATGCATACAGTGTTTTAATAAGAATCCTATTTTTAAAATTATAATATAAGAGGAAATTTTAAAAGATGTACATAAAGGTTTAAGTTTTCAAATATATGTAATATCACATTCAGAAAGAATCATTTCCCAAGGATTCCAAATTTTCAACATTTTACCGTAATAGATCTTAAATATCTCTCGCCCCTTCCTTTATGTGTGCTGCTTTTATCTGTCTGTCTGTCCATCCATCTATCTACCCATCCACCTATCCATCCATCCATCCATCCATCCATCCATCCATCCATCCTTCCTTCCTTCCTTCCTTCCATTTGTTTTTCAGGCCATCTCTCAGTCTGTCTCTGTCTTCAGACTGTCTTTCAAATTGTATCTGTCTCTGACTGTTCTCTGCCTCTCAGGCTGTGTTCCTCCACATGTGCATACCTGTGAGTATCTTCTTCTCTGTCTCAGATATGTGTCTTAGTCTATTTTTCAGTGTATGTGTCTTCTGATCTATGTCTTTCTACTCTGTCTGCATATATACATGTCTGTCCCTCATTCTCTCTAGTCTCTCTCCTTACTTTATGTGTGTCTCTTTCTCTGGTAGATTTTTCTTTTTCATTCTGGCATTTCTCTCTCTCTTTGTGAAAAGATATATATATATCTCTCTTGTCTTTTTCACTATATGTCTGAAAGAGACATATCTTGTCTCTTTCACTATATATGTCCCTTGTCTGTATGTATGTCTCTTTCTCTGTATTCGTCCTCATGCCTGTGTCTCTATCACTCTCAGTGTGTCTCTTTTTTTTCTCTCTCCCTCACTATACATCTGTCTCTTTCTCACCAAGTCTCTCTTACTGTGGTATTTCTCTTTCTCTGAGTCTCTGTGTATGCTTCTCTTTCTGTGCACCTCCAGGTGTGTGTCTGTGCCTCTATGTGTTTCCCTCTTCAAGTATCTTCCTTCCTGTGTCTCTTTCTCTGAGGATCTCCTTCTCTGTGTGTTTCTTTCTCTGAATGTGGCTCCGTCCATCTCTGTCACAGTCATTCAGTCTCCTCTGCTTCTTTGTATGTAGGCATGTTTCTCTTTCCCGGTGTGTCTTTTTTTTTCTCCCTCTCTCAATGTCTTTTCTGTGTCTCCTTCTCTGTGTGCATGTGTGTGTCCCTTTCTCTCTGTGTGTATGTCTCTTTTCTCTGTGTGTCTTTCTTTGTATCTCTTTCATAATCCCTGGGTCTCTGTGTGCATGTTGTGTGTGTGTGTGTGCGTGTGTACGCGCTTGTCTACCTCTGTCTAATATATTGGTTAGAACAAACACACTTCACTCAGTGCCTTGAACTAGCATAACACCTGGGGCTTGGTATTAATACCTTAAAAGTCCTTACCTTTTGACCAGTTCTCCATTTGTATTTCTGTTCTTGTTTGCTCTGGCAATGTCTCTGGTTTTTGCTCCAAGATTTGCAGCTAAAATAAAGTCAACTCTAGATAAATAAACTGAAAACAATATATCAGAACACACCTAAACCTTACCTTTGTTTAACAGAGAATTTACAGGATAAATGGTTTTCTAAAACATTTATAATGGGACAATTAACTGAGAATTTCAACAGGCGAAATTAAATCTTTTTCTCAGAAAAAGGTTCTTTTCTTCACACTTATATTTTAGTATATACAGTTCAGGTTAAGCTTTTTAGACATTCATGCTGATTTGGGTAGAGAACCATTTAATTTATTTAACTGAAATATTCTCCAACTATAATTTTAAGCATTTAAGAAAAATACATTTTTACTTTATTTGCCATAAATTTTATACCAAACATTTCAAATTTACTGATTTCAATTTACTGTGTATATATTCATATAGATTACTTTTATAAATTTTACTTATAAAAGAAATTTAAGAATACTACTCTAATTTTAAAAAACATAAAGACCATCACTAACTTGTGGAATTACCGATACTCCTCTCTCTTATTTGTTTTCGTAGTAAACATGATAAAACACTATGCGAGTGTTTTTTTTTATGCTTTTAAGGAGAATAAAATTAGATTTACCTCACAGATAGAATCCTGTGTTCTTTAAAAAGTCCTCAAATAAAGCTGTAGTAAGCTTCTCCTTTTCCAATTTTCTCTAAATATGTTGATTTGGAGTTGGCAATCTTTTTCTAAGTTTCTCATTTACTTTTGGATTAGCTGAAAATATAGGAAGTTATTAATATCAAAGAAATATGTTCCAGTCAATGAAGCCATTTCCCTACATATTGCCCAAAAAGGTTAATAATAATTGCAGTATTTTAATAAGAGATTCATATACCAAGACATGTAGAAAATACAGTCTTTAATAACCTCTGGAGTATTTTAAAACATGTCTTACAGGCCTTAATGTGCTTAGTAATATACTATTTAAAACCATAATTTTATCCCTCTGCAATATACAGTCACTCTTCCTCATCATTTACCCAGCTAATGAATGCCAGCAATTAGTAAAATGTAATCCCATTGCACAATCATTTTAATGCTTTTAGCACTCAGAAAAGTAAACACCAAATTAATACTGCTCAAGCCATATCAGATCCTAGTTGGAAGCAAGCAATTATAGTTCAGCTCCTCAGGTGTAATTAAATGATTGGAATGATTTAGTTCCATAAATGCAAGTTAATTCATAAGCAAGCAACAAATATACTGGGAGTAATTACAAGAAACATTGACAGTCTAAGCAGGGCAAATTCTTTTATAAGCCTGATGTAGTAAAATGCTGCCCTCTCCTGGGCATTTAAAGGAATAACTCAGAGTCAAACAAAAAAATTCCACAAAACCCAACTTTTAGAAAGCCTCTAGACAAAATAACCAATATATCAATTTGATTCCATGACTTATAACAAAAATCTAAATTTATACCTATATTATGATAATTTATGGACACTGAGATAATTAATGACTCGTCCAATAAAGCTCTGAGTCCCAAACTACATCTATTTTACATAGGCAATTTCTACACTTTTAATGAAATCAAATGCTTATGACAGACTGCAAGTGAAACTTCTAGTACCCAATGAGACTGCCAGTCAACACCTCTGTTCTCTCAATGGCAAAGTGTAACTTGACTGTTATGGATAATAACTAAACTATGCTTTTATATGTAGTAAAACATGCATGGAAAATGTAAAACAAAATATTCAATACTGTTGTGACTTTACATAATGATCTAAAACTAATTTTTTAATAAACTTCAATAATCAAAACAAAAACCTGAGTACTCTTATAACTCTCATTATAGGCATATTTCAAAATGTAAAGAGTACCAAGTACTACACAAAAACGCATTCTATTTTAGGTTATCCCCAATATTTTACCTTCTTAGGCTAAAATTCAGGACAAATGTATTTACATACTAACTACTCAAGTGGTCCATAACTTTTCAGACTAAACTTTCAGAAGCTTATTTATTATACTCTTAAGTTATGTTATAACCAATAAGCCTGTGTTAAAAATATGTATTAGTAGCCTTAAACCCAAACAGTATCATCCCATTGCCTTTCTGTAATTTGCACATGTTCTCTGCCAAAATATTGCAGTTAACACAATAAATATTTACTTTTTCAAAAAATACAAATGGTCCTTGGCAGAAGATAATGCTTAACACTACACCAATATTTTTGGAGACAGAGAGACCAATAAATTAATGTCCTTTAAATTTGCTTTTAAGTGCATTAAAATAACCACATTCTAAGTCATAACCAGCACAAACTATAAAAATAAAAAATCAAAATATTAAAAAGTCCTGTCACTAAGTTTAAAATGTACAGCACATTTGCTTTGCCCTTGATGTCACAGTCTTATTTTTCAATTCATATCTTGTACACTGTAAGTTAATTGCTTTTGGAAAGTACTTATTATTCATGTAAAAATTAATGTGCCAATGTGTTTAAATCCTCTTAAATGACCATTCATGCATCTTTCTTCTTTAAGTACCAGTGAAATCTGTCAAAAGACATCAATGCAAAATGGTCTTAAAGGAAAGTTCTAATAGAGATTTTTTTTTCTGCTAACACAAGATTTTCATACTCACCAACTTTACTTAAATTCCATTAATTTTTTAAGCTACTTTTAATAAATTCACCAAGTAAAATTTTTAGGCCTCATAGTCTGTCATTTGTGTTCCAGCTGACATTATGAATATTAATAACAGTGTTATCCTGATTAAATAGGCTTCATATGAAATCCCTGTGAATCCTATAGCTCAGACATCTCATTTTTCCAACTCTTTATGAATTTGGATTCAGATATTAAACTGGAAAAATCTTAAAAAACAGATTTAGTGACATATTTGCATATTCAGCAAAAATTAGATGTTTTAATGATTCAAACAATTAAAACATATCTACATATAATAGGTGAAGATTTCTGTAAACATGCAACATATTTATACTTCTATCTTTTTTAGGACAAAGGATTAAGACTAATAAAATACTATTTTCTGTCCTTACCTTAAAGATTTGATATCAAGAATTTGTCTTCGGTCAAAAATTATATATTCACATTAAAACTAGTGGGATGATTTTACAGTAGACAATCAGATAAATTGGGTTTCTTAATCCAAATGCTAACTTACTACTTTACAAACAAAACATAAAAATTACGTTATTACTAATCTACACCAAGTTCAAGAGGCAACGTAAAATCAATTTCCAGCTAAAGTTTGTTTATAAGTTGGATGGAAAAAATTACCTATTAAAAAAAAAAAAACAAACTCTACTATAACCAACAGAAGATATATGAGCAGCTGTTAAATTAAAATATTCTCCATAATAAATTCCTAGCCTCATTCCTCCAAGTTATTTTTAATTCTGAAAAATTTTCAGTATATAAAAAAGGAAGTGGCCGGGCGTGGAGGCTCATGCGTGTAGTCTCAGCACTTTGGGAGGCCGAGGCGGACAGATCACGAGGTCAGGAGATCAAGACCATCCTGGCCAACACGGTGAAACCCCATCTCTACAAAAAAAAAAATGAGCCCGGCTTGGCGGTGTGTGCCTCTAGTCCCAGCTACTCGGGAGGCTGAGGCAGGAGAATTGCTTGAACCCGGGAGATGGAGACTAAAGTGAGCCAGTGTTGTGCCACTGCACTCCAGCCTGGCGAGAGTCTGCCTTACCAAAAAAAAAAAAAAAAAAAAAAAAAAAAAGGAAGTGAGTCTTATTATAAAGAAGAAAATAAAAATAAATAATAATTAGGCAAACTGCATACCCTCTCTCTCTCTCTAGGTACATAGTAATCTCAATATATCTGATAAAGTTTCCTACCTGCACTCATCAAAAAAAGTAGGTTGAAAAAATTTAAACAAACATCCCTACGCTCTCAAATGTGACTTGACTCTCCTATTTACTCAGCATTAAAACACTTCATGAAACAAAATTTGTTCTTTGACCAGTCTGAAATTTCTAATCTGCCTAAAAAATTGTAAGTAATTCTGACATTTACCCTTTAAAATTAAATAATGCCTTTTTGACAGAGAAGCATTTAAAAATGGGATTTCATTCCCCAATGTAACAGTATCCAGGATTTTTAAAAACATTTTAAATAGGAGATGTTCTTCCTATCTTCCTCCACAAAAGCCACACTTTACCAAACGTTTTCAGCTGACTTTGGTTTATGCCACATTTTTCATATTTTCTTAGCTTAATCACAAATTTGTGTAAATTGAATCCAAGTATCAAACTAGAGATCATTTACAATACTTCATTTTATCCAACAGTAATTTCAGAAAAACTCTGAATTTTGTATTTTCTAGCTTGAGAAATGCTGATAATTTCTGCATTAAAACAGTTTCATAAAAAAGAAAGCATGCTATTTCAGAGAGCCAAATATTTTATCACACAACACAATATAAGCACATGTCCTACTATTGGATTTTCATCTTATTATACAAAAGACTCAAACATTTATAGCCCCTGACACATTCTCTCCCTAAAAGAATCTCTTTCACCCAGTGTGCCTACTCCTTATGAAGCTCCAGACAACTCAAGTTCCTCAGAGCTATGATAAGCAAGAAGAGGTTCAGGAAGAAAGGGTAAGGGATAATAGTGGCCCTGTACCACAGCTCTACAAATTTAAAAGGCATATATTTAAATTATTTGACCCCACAGTTCCATTACTAAAAATATTTACAAAAATATGTAAGATATATTTTTATGTACAAAGATATTCATTGAAGCAGTTTTTATTCATAAGAACAAATATTCATGCTCCAGTCATGCTGGTCTTCTTTCTGTTCTTCGAACACACCAAGCTTATTCTTACCTCAGAGCTTTTATCTTGCTATTATACTCTATGCCTAGAATTCTCTCTTCTAGATCTCTAAGCCATTTTTCTCATTATGCAGGCCTTGCTCAAAAGTCATCTCTTACAAAGGTTTTGCCTGGCCATCTTATCTAAAGTAGAAACTCTTTTCTCATCACATTACCTGCACTACTGCCTTCATGAAACTGATTTGTTTAGATTTTATTTGTTTCTTAATATATCTCAGCAACTTACATGGAAACAGGGCCCTTGATTTTCTCCTCCATCTCTGCATCCTTAGAAGAGTATTTGGCATAAAATATGGACTCGGTAAACATTTGATGAACACACAGGTAGATGGACAGGTGGAGAGACATGACTAGTAGGAAACTAGAACATAAATGTCCATCAACAGAAAATTGGTATAAATAAAATGTGGCTCAACCATATGGAAAACCTATATGGTTTATACCACAAATGCAAGAGATCTATATATACTATGTGTATACTATGAGCCAGACATTATTATAGGAGTTAGATATAAAATGGTGAATAAGACAAATAGATTTCCTATACAAATATATCCTTGGTCAAACAATACAGGCACCAAGTATGGATAAATTCAAAACAGAAAAATTAAACTCACATATATATACATGCTTGAATAGGCACATTATTTTTTTACAGAAGTATACATAAGAAACCATTACCAGTGGTTAGTCTGAAGAAAGGGCCTACGAGTTGGGGTGGGGAGATAGAGAAAATTAGGGAAAGAAACATTTATATTTCATTTTATATTTATATGTATAATTTGATTTTTTAATTGGGTGCATGTATTACTTCTAATTTAATAATTAAATATTTATAATTAATATGGAATTTAATAGGAAACCCTGAAGGACATTACATTACCACTGAGA